TCTGATTTATTCCTGTAGTATCTATATCGGAGTAATCTTTTAATTTTACAACTTCTTTTTAAACCTCGACTTATCCAATTGTTTGTAGTATTATTATTATTTATCATTATTCTAATAAGTGGAAAACATAAATTATAAATTAAACATAGAAATTCATGAAATGTATTAAACGCGCTATTTATATCAGTCTGTAAGTATATCTCAGACCAAGATATATTCATAAGACATTCCCTAAATTTCCGTATGTTCTCAGCGCAATAGTCTTTTTTGTAAATAAAATATGCCGTAGTCTTTAAAATTTTTCTTTTTATGGGGATTTCCAGTAGTTGCGCTGTTTCATGGTCAGACAGGTATAGAGGTAGAATGGTAGCCGTTGCGTCTGTGATGTTGCTTAAAATATGGTCTATACAAGAGTTTTTCCGGGTCGGTACCTTAATGTGAATGCTTAGATTGTAGTTGTGACATAGATCCTGAAAAAAATTAGTAATATTTCCCTGTTTTGAAGTATTAATATTAAAGTCACCAGTTACAACTAGCTTAATGTTTGGCTTATGACTGCCAAGTAAGTCATATAAAAGTTTGTCCAGCTTATCTAAGAAAATAGTAGGGTTTGACGAGGGAGTTCTATAAATACATATTATAATCAATCTGTGTATAGGAATTTCAATTCCACAAGCTTCAAATGTATTTGGTGTTGCATAATATTGTAATTTATTAATTTTTTTGTATGTTATATTACGTTGTACCAAAATACAAGTTCCGCCTCTTTGTTTATCCCTACAAAATGCAGTTGCTAATTCGTAACCTTTTATTTGTAAGTATTTATCGTAACCATCTCGCAAAAACGTTTCAGAGAAACATAGTATATCGGGTTCGTTCTCGGCCTCACGTAACTCATGGAGTGTTAATTCTAATAGTTCTTGTTTTGATAAAATACTAGCAATGTTTTGGTGCATGATTTTGAGAGAAAGAGATGGCTTTTGCTTTTTGTTCCCGAAAAAACTGATTTCCATCTATTATGGGGAAGTAATAGGGTATGGTACCTTTTTTCGAATCGAAAGTGGATTTTATGGCATTAGTTCCACTGATGGAAGCACTTTGTAACTGCATTTTTGCGAAGTAATAGGGGATTGTGCCTTTCAGGTGTTTTATATTAAATTTAGTTGCTTCCTGAGGCTGTGGTTTATTGCGAATTATTATCTTTTGAAGTTCCTTAGTATTTAAATATTTCTTATCGTAGTCAATACAGTCGATGATATAATTGATTGATTTACAGATTTTAAACAAATTGCTATTAATACATTCTATAAAATAACAGTTTTATAAGCATTGCAAGTAATTTTTAACGCATTATTCAATTCATGAACATTCAAATACATATTTTTAATGGGTTAATAACTATCACAGAATTGTTACTAAATTTATTGAGCAAACTACGCAATTGAGATGTTAATATATTAATATCATAATCATTTTCACCGATACATATTACAATTTTTTCATTTGATGTTACTTCTAAGTTATGACAATTTTTTAAAACATCTGCAGTTAGAGCATATGGTTTCGTTTGCGAGGTAATCAAATTTTTTTCGTATGTTGTACGCTCTCGTGACCGTATCAATGCAGCGGCTAAACCAACACATTGTTGAGTTCCAAAGATCAATATCCTGTTATCAAAAGCTTGCTTTTCGGTATCCTTGGAATACATTTTATCATTAAAATTAGGTGTTGTTAAGGCCTTAGATCTTGTTGAGGGCAGCTCTCCGTCCCAGGCCTGGGTTTGTTTCATGAGTTTCATTATTTCTGTCTGGGATTCTTTTAATTGTTGCTGTAATTCTGCAATTCTCTGATGTAAAGTCGTGATAGTATTACTGTAGTCAAGTTTAATTTTAATTTTATCCGAAGTAGATAATCGAGTAGGTGTAAGTGAACTTTGCATGGTATATCTACTTTCCTTTTTAGAGCTGCGATTTATTCGACTATCATGTAACGGGGACTGGCATAATGTTTTTAGCATACTATTTTCTTTATTTAACTTAGTAATTTGTTTGCGTAGGTCACTATTTTCCATTAATGTATTATCCAATTCATTTTGTGAACTAATGAGTTCTGTCCGAAGTTGTTCTATAGTTTCCTTCATTTCTTGTACTGAGATAGAATCTCCTATTGTATAATCCACACTCCTTGATAGTAACTGATCCGGTGTCAGTGGAAATTCATCTGATGTCTGCGTTTCTGTAAGTATGTGAGAGTCATGTATTTGGGAATTCGTACAAGAAGGCGTTGAAGGAGCCGACTCTGTCATCTTCTTAGGTGTAGTGTTACAGTATAATTTCGGAGAATGCTGTTTCTTTCTCATTGCGACATAGGATAATTCATTGTTGTCAGTGGAGCGTAAGTTTGTTTTATTGTCACAAATCTTACAAGTCCATTTTTTCCTTGTATTAGAGTCCTTTAGGCGATATAATTTTTCTGAATATCCAATACAGTCGAACTCATAATTATTTTTGCATACTGAACATAAAATTGTGTTTCTAGAGTCCACACTGTTTTTACATTTATAACATGTGACATACACTGACATCTTACGGCTACTTTTTGTACTTTTTGTTTGCGCTTTCATTGACATCGTGATCAGCTAATATATTTAATGATCACAAAAGGAAGTTTCGTTCTAGTTCAACTAACTTCCGCTAGATCTCAGCACATAGTCTTAATTCAATCAATAATTCAAATATTATGTTGACAGAATAGTTTAGTTTAACACGATTATACTAGGTGTCGTTAGTCGTCCGGTATGCCGTATAAACAACAACAGCTGATTGGTCAGCTGTATTGTTTACTTTAACCTGAGATACAACGGTTATATTGAACCTAAACAAAGGTCACTTTACAAAATCCACAAAGTTATATTAGTTTTCATATTAGTTTGAACTTAGCATTTAGTCTTATTTTATTACTCACTTGATAAATCTAGATTATACTGCTGCTACTTTTTTTGCTAACATCATTAAAACTAAGCTCAATAAACACTCGTATGTATCACAAGTTTTAGTCAAAAACCTTTAATAGTTCACCAAGATAACATTTGTGCACAATCATAACGTATTATTACTTTGATATATGAAGTCTGAGACGGTAAAATAGCCAAATTACACTTTTTATTCCATTTTAATACGGGAGCTAATGTAAACACGGTCACTGTCACTTTCGATAACAACTTTGTTTTGATTTGCACATCAATCACATTATAACTAACTCTCTTAAGGGTTTAAATATTATAAGATGTTTAGCTGGTGTGACTTGGGGTGCAGACCCCAAAGTTTTAAGTATGCTATATAAATCTATAGTCAGAAGCCATTTTGACTATAGTTGTTTAGCCTACTCAAATAGCAGTTGTGTAAAAAAAAAACTAGACATAATTCAAAACAAAGCTCTGCGAATTATTTCTGAGGCTATGTGTTTAACTCCCATACGATCTACGGAAATTGAAACCAAAATAATGCCACTGTGAACTTCCACTTCCACGACGTCCTTGTGGAATCGATTACCATCAGCGATTTTTCCGGACCGATACGACTTAGGGACCTTCAAGAAAAGAGCGTACTCCTTTTTAAAAGGCCGGCAGCGCATCTGCGATTCCCCTGGTGTTGCAGTTGTTCATGGGCGGCGGTAGTCACTTACCAGGTGAGCCACATGCCCGTTTGCCCCCTCTCCTATAAAAAAAAAAACTGTATCTTAGAAGACTTCTGCTAATAGAGAGATATTTAATAAAGCTGTTATCTGGTAATGATAATGTTCTCAAAAAAAATAGTACCTTTTCCTGTACAATGCTCGGCCCAGCAGACTTCGGGAGGTGAGCTTTTACGAGGTTATTTCCCAGTTCTGCCTCTCATTGTACAGCAAATGAATGAAGATTTTAAAAATGTAATTAAACAATCAAAGTAGACATGCTACACATACCCATATTCCTGTATTATATTTAAGACCAATATTGTTACCAAAAAATTTTTTAATAATTGTGAATTATTAAGTTTTCTTTCCGACACTAACTATTATACTTTGTATACAGATGGTAGCAAAAGTGAGCTCTTTCTGCGCAGTGCTGTTTACCAATCCAAGTTTGGTCAAAGTTTTCTTCTGGACCCAAAATGCAGTGTTTTCACTGCAGAGGTATATGCAGCCCTCGAGGCCCTGAAGAGGATTGCACATATAAATAGTTTTAATAATATTTTAATTTTAACAGACAGTTTAAGTATGGTCCAACGTTTAACCAATCTCAGATTTGACTTTAAAAAAACTATATTTTGTATAACATTAAAAAATCTGCCTCTATATAAATTCATCAAAAATACAGTGGGGAAATTATAATAAACCGAATAAAAATACTCAAGACTTGGCCTAAAGGTTAAGATATCAGGCCATAAACCCCAAAGAAAAAACTCTCTGGTTTGGTGCTTGCTACATATTTATTTATCTATGGTTTGGTGTTTCTGTTTTTGTGTATTGTGTAACGAAGTTATTATTTACAAATCTACATTATTTATACAGTTTAAATACGCTTAAAATTCATTAATAACGTAACTATTGTATTCAGCCGTGTGAATTTTCACAAAATAACGATGTGTTCTATGGATTTTGATCTCTAACATCGCGATTCGTGTTTGCGTTATTTTGTGGGACAATAAGTGAAGTGACGCGCTCTTGTAGACAGAGGCCATAACACAAGCTAAAAATACATTGATACAAATTGTGATAGCAATTAGAAAAAAAACAACTTATATTGTTATTTGTGATGTTCCCGCATTTCATCAGCGCGGAAGAAGAACAGAAGTCGAATTTGATTCCGAGTGTGAACCTTCTACATTCCAAAAGAAAAGGGATATTCATACACCCGTCTGCTATGTACAGAAGTAATACACTTTGCTGCACAAATATAAGTACAAGACTTATAACGAGAAGTTTTAGCGGGTAAATCGTGGCCAGACATAATATTGAAGATGAAACTTTTGGAAAGTGGTCGCTTAGAGGCGCTCAGCCGTGCGCTTTCAATTCTGAACGGTGATAGTGCCGTTCAGGGTCGCGTTGAAAGCTACAGTTGCAAAATGGCTGGAAATGAGAAAGCTTTTTACAAGCGGTTCACTGCTGATGGAGAAACTACTCACAACCTTCAGGCACTGTCACCTCCAGAAGGCGTTGCATACAGGTATGTGTGTCTATGATTCAGAATTACATAAATCAAGGCTCATCTTTACCAATCTTAGTTAAAACTTTAGTTCTCATGTTTAGACCTAACTACTACTAGTTAGCATTTCAATGACTACTGTTTGAAAGATTCACTTTTTTAACTTATATGGATAAAGTTTTAGCATTCAGAAGCTCAGTTTTCGTGGTAAATAAGGACATTATAACAATTTTTCTTCTTTTATTGTTTGTTTTTTATTGGTGTACACATTTGATGTTAGATAGGTTGCATTTTGTTTATACAAGTTGTATTGGGGGTTTTATAAAATTTGAACATTATTATTTATGTACTTTTCATTTAAAATTAAAAATAATTAATATTTCTTAAGTTATTAAATATAAGCTATAGTCAAATGTACTTAGACTGAAAATTTTTGTTATAAAGTAATTGTGACTATGGTGTTGGGACTAGTATGTAAAATCATTTTTGACCAGGAGTATTTAGCGAGAAAAGAGTTTGGTATTTTACATAACATTTAATACCTTAGACTTAAAGTATACATAAGCAAGCTAAAGAGCATGCGTATTGCTCATCACTCATTATGCCAAGCTTTAAAGTAAGTAAGTCTTACTTCAAATTTAAACTATTGCACCTCCAAACAGCTTACACAGTCCACATTGGTTTCAAAAATGAATAAAGCATTAAAATGAATGGAACAAAAAGCTCTCTCCATTGGGCCTCTTTATTGCTATAGTATGTTTCTAGGGCAGGCGGAAAAACGTACATTGACCTTTGACAATATCATCCGGGTAGCCAACCTTTTTTTTAACGTTTTATTTTTTTATCCTTTTATCATTACATACATCATCAGAGTGAAAGAGAAAGAGTGACAAGTGCGAAGTTCTTCGCAGGCCCTGTGTCTATTATTGTATTAAGGAGGAAAAAGACTGTCCTGTACTTTATATGAATTAAAAAGCAAATTAACATTAATTTAAATTTGTTATTTATAAATCATAAGAGTTATTACAATTTTCATTATTACGTTAATAGTAGGTAAGTAGTTTCATAAGTAGGTAGATAGGTAGGTACAAAACATAACCATTTCTTGGCAGTTGAGTAAAAAGGCGAACTTTTAATGCTAAGCATTCTATAGCAGTCAACCTTGAAGCATGCATAAAACTTCTCATAATAGATTGTCAGAGACACTTGACGGACTATTGTTCTGTATCTATTTCAGAATAATTTTCTGATGATGACGACATGGAAGAGTCTGCCACATTGATTATAAAACTATATAGGTAATACGTCACTAGACCACGTTTCTTTTACATATTTATAGAGTTTACAATTATTCTTTTTTCGGTTTCGAAATATGCGACACTTTCCACTTCTTTCGTGGTGTGATACAAAATCTTTATAAGATTTTGATGTCGATGGACTCAATTACATACCGGTGATAATATACAAAACGTAACAATACAGCAAACAAAACAAACTTAATAAAAGTGAAAACAACAACTATAACCGAAAATTTTAAATATCAAACTATGATGAGTCCTGCTCCGCCCGCTCTAGCAAATACGCACGACGTGAGACTGCGAATCGTGTCGAAACAGGTTTGTTATCTCTGAATGACCACTTCCTTCACCCTACCCAGTACCACGAGACACGCTTAGTGCATAACGATACGTAATTGATAGTGAAATCTATGGAAGCAATTCCTGTTGTTTTGTTTCGATGCTAACATAATACTTTAGGTCAATGTACGTTATTCCGCCTGCCATAGAAACATACTTTATCATGCATTTATTTGCCAATTTATTGCTTTTCGGACATCTGAAAGTATTAGAAAAGTATTTTAACCTTATTAAAGACCAGACTTAATTAATTTTATTAAAATTAGTGTTTTCTCATCAAAATATTACTTATCAATGAAAATAAATATCATTATTCTTCTTAGTTCACTTCCGTGAATCGTTTTTACAGCTTGTTACTGCACATTTCGCCATGGTAACTTAAAATTTTAGTAAATACTGGTGAGGAAACAATCAGCATGCGTGTCCTTTGGTGACTTAGAGCACCGCTCTTGCAATTTATAACAGCTCATACTCCTGCTTACTGTTCATACTCACTAACACATACTCTATATATTGTGTATGTATACTCTAAAGACAATAATTATAATAATTAGCTTATATAATATATAATGCTATGTTAAAACTACCACTACTAAAACCCTTAAGTAGCCTCAAACTCCCCAATTCTCTTTTCTCAGAAATCTTGAAGTTCAGTTATGAATGGACTGCTGCTTATTGCAGATAGGTGGTGGTACCAACCAAGATGGATATCTAGGCAAAAAAGAAGCTCTACTATCTAATAACTCAATTAATTTTCCTCCATAGCTAAATGATTAAATTTATGTTTGAACGTTATTTTCAAACATTGATTAAATAAGTACTACCCAATAAATTAGAGGACATATTTTAATGGTATGACTTTTCAAACAAAGTTTATCTAAACAAGTTCAATGTGTTAAAACAATAAACAAGTAAGCAGTTATCTTATTAACAATCTGTTATATGTTTACAGTCGCAGCTTGTCAGGTGATGAAGATGGTGTCCTCTGCGACACAATATCTCGGAAGACATTGTTCTATCTGATCGCCACTTTGAATGCTGCATTTCCTGACTACGACTTTTCAATGGCAAAGGTATATTTTTTGTACATGAAAGTATTAACTTTAATTAAAAGAAAGTAAACGAGGGAATTGCATTTTTCGGATCAGGGATTTAGGGGAATCTCAATTGTTAATTAGCAGAGTAGACCGTGTGTTACGGCCTACGGCTTAGAAGCTGCTTAACATGTTCGTCCGCAGTTCGCCGAACGTCGGCATATCTTCTGGCTAGGAGGTCCCGACCAGTCTGGTAGGCGTCGTCCGACAATCCTAAGTGGCCGATGACGCCCAGGGCCTCCCCCTCCAGTGAGGCTAGGAGGTACGCCATCTTCTGGCTCGGGGTCAAGTCACTCCGGGCGTCCACTAGGCTGTCGAAAAGACCAACGAAGGTCAGCCCATGAAGCAAATATAAAGAGGAGACGTTCTAATTAAGTTTCACTATGTAACAACGCGTGACAATTTGCGGGGTGAGGAGATGCAAAGCTCCGCCCAATTTACACCATCTACATCTACCGATAAATAGTAAAACTATTCGAATCGTTCCATATCGATGTTGCAATGTAGTTTAGCTAGTTAGACGGCAGATGGCAGTATGTTCACAAAATGATTATAAACTATAAAAATAACATTTTGGCGATTAAAATTTCTTTGTCTGAATGCAAAACAAATTTCAGCAACTTCGTATGATTATTTTACCAATACTGAGCTCTACGTTCCTATATATTTTTAGTTCACATGTCACAAAGTGTCGCCATCTAGTGTCGAATATATTTAATTATATTTGAAAGCCGACGGACAGATTTTTCTAGAACTATTTTAATAAATTAGGTGTAAAATTACTTACAAATGAAATGTGATGCCATCCATAGCATCAGAGCGTCTATCTGAGTAGTTTTTACACGATAAAATACAACACTTCATCCTTTTCCTCTTAATACTACGAAAATACACCGATTTGCGATTTTCAACACATAAGCGCACAGGACGAGTGCTGATAGTATACTAACTAAAGCCACGCCCACTATGATGACGTCAGGACGTACTTAGAATCACAGTGCACAGTTGAATATGCCGTCTCCTCTTTATATTTGCTTCATGGGTCAGCCATTCGGAAAGGACCCCGGAGTACCTTGGCAGGTCCAGAGTTGGGAGTCGTCCCAACAGCTCCGGCTGAGGCTGCCTCCGAGAGGACTCGGGCAGGCCACTCATCCGAGCTTCACGCGCCTCCTCGGCATACCTGCCTTCAGCCTCGATCAACTCGTCCGTGAACGAAAAGAACTGCTCGTAGTCCGCGAAGCAGGAGTCCAGGACTCCCTTTTCCACATCCGAATCCTCGAGCTCAGCGTAAGCCTCCTCCACTGCGGCCCTTCGAGCATCGACTTGCTCGAGCCGCCTCATCAAGTTATGGACCCTATCCGGTCGACCTAACAAAGCATGGGCGCTGGTGGCCCAGCGTAGCTCAGTCCGCAGGCAACGGATTAGTAGCTTGGGCGATAGCATCACTACTAAATACAAATTACGACGCGGCCTGAGCACAAATTACAAAAATAACAAATAACAAATACAAAAAAAATTAACAGTTAACAAATGCATAATAGAAAGAAGAATGCATGAATAGAAATTACACCAATACGAACTACTACTTATTAATTAAATACAAGTTAGCACAAAAGAAAAGACACAAATCAAATCAACAAATAACAAATACTAGTGCGATCAAATCAAGTTAAATTCAAATTGCGCAAATACAAATTACTACTCTTTAGCTCAAATACAAATTACAATACGACTAAAGATACACATCACGGTCGATCAACAAAAAATGCCTCGCTCGGAAATCGACCCTTCGATAAGTAATCCACTACAACTATCCGACAACGATAATTAACCGATTACGTGATAATAACCATCTACCTACATGACGCATACCTCTAGAAAAACTCCCGCTTGCGCACTAAACGGGCGCGGCTTTTAATATCTACCCGCTAACCAAATAAGCAAGCAACAAAGGAAAATAATTTTATTATATGTACAAAAAAAATTTACGTATTACGGACGGGCGTGATTGTAGACACAAAATTAAACCAATCAAACCAACGCTCCCTGCCACCAGAATTGTTTAATTTTTATCAAACACTATGGTCGGGATCGACCGGGGAATCGAACCCGGAACCACGCTCTGCTACCACTTTGTTACGGCCTACGGCTGCTCCCACAAAGGTTCAATCCTCCGGGGCCCGTCAGCGGAGTTTCAACGAACAGACGTAGGTCGGGCCTCAATATGGCCGCGTGGAAATTCCTAATTACAATAAACAATAAGGGGGAGCGTTCTATCCTACTGCCATTCAACAGGGAGAATATTAAAACTGAGCTTACTTACCTATACCCAAGGCGACTGGTCCCTCAGGGTTCGGTCAGGTCGCATGTGGTTGTATGGTGCATGGGAAGTAAGGTTCAGTGATGTGTATCTGTGTGTGACTGAGTGTGGTAGACCTTATGAGACCTTTGCCGTCGGCAGCAGCTCGAACTTCAGCACCGCTCCAAATTGTGGTAATCTTCCGCGGTGTCGTCCACAGTCACTTTCTTCGTTCGTCACGAGGACAGTCCTTAACTTTATCGTACAATTATCTAACTTCCAGAAGCCACTAACTCTAATTTGTTATAAAGCGTAACACCCAACACAAATACAGAATGTCGGTCTATACGAAATCCCGTTACTATAAGCAAAAATGTAACACACCGCACGAACACGAATGTCCGGATCAAAGTTCACTACCGTTTCGCGTGGCAACAATTATTTCTAGAATATCAAATGCCGCAGTAGTAGCTAATATTGTCGATTACCCTTATACAGATTCTGAGTTAGACACAAGAAGTCCCGGGAAAAGCTCTCAAACAAGGAATGCGCGATACGAATGCTAGACAGTATATTTACTAGACGCGCCTAAATTATTCCGCGTTCCCGCACAAAAAAAATGACAGCGTGCTGTCCCAAGCACAGCTGGCAAACGACTCCTGCGCTCGCGCGCCCTCGCCACACCGCTCGACCGAACGTCAAAACCGGTATCCGAGCCGAGCGCCCTCTGGCGTCAAATTCCGAAACCAGCGTTCGGACGTGAACACCGTGTGTAGTTGATGTCGAAATTTGGAGAAACAGATTTATTCTCTTTATAACCACCACAACTTTTTATATTCACATAAATTTGTTTATAAGATTCATATTGGGCTTTTTTGTACATACCAAAAGTTTGATTCATCTTATCAAATATACCTCCAAAACCTACACAATTTGAAAACAAGTGTGTATAACCAGTGCGTGTTGTCAGTGATGACATATGGGTAGGAGACTTTGTGAAGGGGATATGAGGGGGGCTTTTAAAAAATGTAGCAAATCTGTGTCATCACAAGAAAATAGAAATGTATTTAAAAAAATATATGGTACCAATAAATATCTACATTTATCGATATCGAAGATTCGCCGCTATCAATATCGAAAAACTCAATATATGGAAATAAAATCTGCTCCTGTAAGAAATTTAAAAGTAAACATTCTCGAAATTTGGCAAGAGATGCAAGGTGTATATCCCAATCTGTTTAAAGTGGCAATTTTTCAGACAGGAGCTACAATAACTCAAAGTCGAAACTGGCTACATGGAAGTAGATTATCAAAGATATTGTTTTTAAGTTCAATGGTGGGTATAAAATACTGGGCTTAAAGATTTTATTAATAAATTTATGATGTAAATACATATAAAACAATAATAAATGGTATTTTTTATTTTATAATCTTATTTATTGATTATTCACAGATAAGAATTTACATAATCGATGAATGTTTGATACAACTACTACAACTTGAAGGTCCCAAAGATGGCGTGAGTCTCGCTGCAGGTCATAAATATTATTTATACCGGAGCTCTTAGGGCGAGCCTTGGGGGATGACGATTTAACTAATAACTTATTCTACAGAGTAAAATATTGTGCCTATAATAATGATAGTAACTTGAACATACAGTCTTGAAGAAAGAGGGGTAGTACAATAAAGCGTATGTACATGCTCGACCAGAGTATAGTGCAGAATGGCGCTGTTCTATTTCTCTTGTACTATGCAACGAATGTAATATAATTCAATTCACGTCATACAACCAGGGCTTATAGGAAACCTGGGTTTGGCACAGCAAGCTCATCTGGACTTCTTTTTTCGACCATACTGTAATATGTGTAGTTACATGATATCACCAAAATAAATTAAGTATGCAAACCAACAGCAACACATCTCAATGTAGTAATACTTATGCAAATAACACAGGGTAGCCTGTCAACAACACACCCTTTTTTGCTTGTACTTGAAGAATTACCACAACAAACAAAATCACTTGGGAGGCATTTCTGAGCACGATCGATGAGCTTGCGATCATAAATGACTCTTTATAATTGCGTGTAAGAAATATCCACAATCCCATATCACCCAATGGGTGCTGTAAGAGGCGACAGAGGGAAACAAATCGGGATTGCCCATCTAGGCAGCAGCGGCTTCCTAATAACGACTGAAAATAATAAGAAACTGAGGTTGTCATCTAGCTTGCCAAACGTGGTAACTATGGCAAATATCCCCTCTATGAGGTACTCTACGGGAGATGCTTATGTTCAGCAGTGGACTTTAATAGGCTGTAACGGTAATGGTAAAGTTAATGGTGGGTCGTGTCGGTGTGCACAGAGCAGTGAGTTCAGCGCAGAGCCGTCGTTGAGCTGGGCGCAGGGCGCGGTGGATGCGGCGCTGTCGGCAGTGGGCGGCGCGCGCTGGCGGCAGCTGCGGCCGGCGCTGTGGGCCGCCATCGACGACGAGGTGGCGCTCGCCGACTGCCGCATCTACAGCTACAGCCCGGACCTCGCCAGCGACCCCTTTGGCGAGCCCGGCTGCCTCTGGACTTTCAACTACTTCTTCTACAACAAGAAGCTCAAACGGATCGTGTTCTTCACCTGCAGAGCGATGAGGTACTTCCGAGTGCAACTATTGTTTTTATTAATTGCACCATGTTTTGTTTTTACCATCGAGTCCAATCGATGCATATACAACAAGTTGAAACCACTTTATCGGAAACCGAAATGACGAATTGCCATAAATAAGATAAATTTCTTTCAGTATAGTAAGTAATATGATTAGCAAAATAAAACATAATATAATTATTTTTTGCAGCCCTGTGTGCGCAGTGGATTCCGGCGTGGATTTCGCTATGGATGAAGATGAAGAGTATAATTAACTGAATTTTTCTTCATTTAAATATATATTTTATCAAAATAATTGTAACAACTACTTAATAAGTGTGAAGGATTGTTCTACTAAAAGATTAAATTTCTAAGGAATAATTTAGACATACATATATATATTATAAGCAGAAAACACAATTTAAATTGCATATTCTTCTTACCAAATTTTCCAGATTGATTAAAATTATCGCACATACATTTTACTGTACGTTAGAAACAAGGACAAATGATTACAAAAGTTTGTAAAATGCCTTCACAATACATATTATATGCTTTATTGAAGTCTTAAAAGGTTAAATTAAATATCACCAAAATGTGTTTATATTTAAGTCTACCACATATGAAGTCCCAAATGAATAAATATTAATTTAATTAGTAAAAGACCCTTTAGAATCGAAACTAATATGCCAATTTTTTGACATTATTATAATGTATGATGTTTTGTATTAGTTTGATCCAAGTAAATTTAATTGCGTTGTACCCCAACGTACCTACAAGCATTAGTATAAAAAACTAAACTTAAATAAACTAACAGCCTATATACGTCTCATTGCTGGGTACAGGCTTCCTCTTATTTTTGTGAGAAATTTTTTCGAAATGTTCGAAGTATATTTTTTTTCTCAAACGTGGATTTCCACAAGATATTTTCCTTACCAACCGTGGTAAGGGTGTTGCTAGATCAAAAGTTTTTTTTAATGGGCAATGTAATGTATATTTGGTTCACAACAATCCTCACAGTATGTTAGTTTTTTTTTATAGGATAAGGGTGACAAACGAGCACACAGTCCACCTGATGGTAAGTGGTTGCTGCGGCCTATAGACATCTACATTTATCCTCTATTACAAATCATGTAGATGCGTTGTCACCCGTGAGGACTAAGATGGAATGCCTCATTTCCAGTAAAAAGGGCCTCACACTGTGCAGTTGCAGTTGCACAAGTGCGTCACACTGTGCAGTTTTGGTGAGATTTCGACGATAACTTAACCAGAACAGATGATAACGATTATCTCAAGGCACCATCGGTGCACTTCATACGCATAAATATCTGATAAACAAAATCGCATTACATTTACGTTAAAAAAATATTTTAACGATAATGCAAGAGCAAAATTTGCTCTACTAAATTCCCGCCAAAACTCAATTATAGTGCCCGCAAGATAAATTCGCGCGCAGCTGCGCGGAATTTGGATTTGCTTTGAATGCATTAAGTACGCTAACAGCTGTTAGCGTACTTAATGCATTCAAAGCAAAAATCATGTCTATGCATACATGCTCGTCGGTTGATACTCTTCATTTGACCCATTTTCAATATATCGCCAATTTGGGCTAGGGTGTCCCTATTTGCTTTGTAACTCTTTCTTCATTTATTCTTTTTACGTGTCCAGGTAAATTTTAAATAACGTGTTATATGTTTTATTAATGTTGCTAAATAATTTTAAACACACAAAGTTGCGTTCCGTTATATTCGTTTGTTTGGGTTTGGGACTTCGTATATAGAATAGCCTATAATAGACTATATAACGACGAATGGATAAATAATAATTGACCTAATTCCTCCGCCAGGAGTAATAGTGTTTTGTGCCTATTTCGGAATGTTTCTTCAATGTCAAGTAGCATTTTAATTAATAAATGGGTACTGAGTGAGGTATATGTATATTTTATTAAAATACCAAGACTAACTTGATTGAATGAAAAAGTTTTTATTTTTATCCTGTGACTTAGTATTCAAAGATCTTCACTTCCTTTAATAGTATAATGATCTATGATATAGTTTGTCTTCATTATTGCCGATACTGAATTTTGATAAATAAGTTTTAATACTAGGTGTTTTCTTTCATTTAATTTTGTTTATTTAGCTTATAATTTTTCAGTTCCAAATATGGACTAAGTAGTCTTGGAACGTAAGAAAACGCATATACACATATAAATACTTATATTTTTATTGACATTTTTATTTTTACATGCTTAACAGCAGTTTTATTATCATTTCTAATATTTCTATTAACCACTCGAAAGTAAACTCAATGGGACATACTAGGAGTGGTTCATAATTGCAAAAATAAGAGTCGAATATGAAGTGGATCCCACGACTTTTAAGTTCTACAGTCCGCATTCTTATTTCTGTTGCAGACGATGATAGTAACGTGCGATAATGCAGGTTATTCGTACTAGCGGTACGGTTCAAACGTGGAATTGATCGCGTTCAGCTCGTGTGAGTTATGCGGTGGTGTGAGCCATACGGGTAGCGCAGCGCTTACACCAGGACCAAAACATATTCGCTTTAGTCGTGGTGTACAAAGCGAGTACAACTAAGCAAATTGCACAAAGTATGATGGAATTTCATACACAGTACTAGCATTTGCACAAGCGAGAAGGCATTTTCTGTAACTGGTATTAGCCAATAGGCTACTGACGTTTTGTATAACTATAATATTCAAAAAATATAGAAGCACGTTTAAATAATATTATTTTTACTAAACACTTCAATTTTACTTTTGCACTTTTTTATTATTAATAATAATTATTATTATAATAGTATTAAGCAATATGTATGTATATGGTTCATAACATTGATTTATTTTGAGCACTTTGAGCATCATAACTATACTTTAAAAAATTACAAGGGAAGAAATAGTATTATTTTATCTGAAGATCGATATTTTGTTAAGGTAACAACATGTTTAAGTAAGTAATAATATGTTTGTATAATTACTACTGCTACTAATTACATTGGGTGGGACTCATCGCTGAAAAATATCTAAGTGTGGCTTTTTAGTTCAGTAGGTAGTAGTCTCAAAAACTATAGTTTATATTATGTTTTTTAAATGAAATAAGTTAAAAGTTTTTAAATTTAGTAACACATTTTAAGGTTCAAGTATATGGTAGGTATATTGTATTCTTGTGCTTTATTTTTCAATGGCTTATCTTTGAGACTGACTGTATTATCAGTATATAACTAATAATTAGAGTTTTCCGCAAACTCTACCTTAACATTTGTCTATTTCAGATTGTTCAGATTTTCGATTTAATAATTTATTCGAAACCATAAACTAAAATTATTTACCATTTAATATGTTTTTAGGTAAATTAAATTTTTCTACATGTTATTCATATATAAGTTGTAATGTAATGTAGTAAATGTGCCTAAAATCCGCCTGTAATTTGTTTTGGCGTCATGAATTAACGTTAGTTTACAATGTTCAATAATATATTTCATTTAATTGATCCTATTTTATTATATATCCTGACACCTCCGTTTACATATCGTCTACATTTTATTCCCTTCCGTTTCAAACAGAATCATCTATCAAATTTATTTGAAGTAGCTAGTTATTTAGGGAATCGGTGATTATCAAGCTCTGGTATCATAATGAAAAAGGGAAGAGAAGAACACGGCTCTTTTGATGAGATGAGTTAACATCTATAAAGTTTCCTCTCGTTTCATTATGTTGCCGTCTAATCGAATCTTAATTATATTGCTAAAATTAATTTTTAAATTTAATTTTTTAATTATTAATTATAAATTAACTAATAGTAATAGACGTGGACCAATTTCGGATTCTACTGTAGCATTTAAGGAGCAAATAATTGGCATACAGTTTAATTAAAAAAATATTCTGCGCTAATTTCGTTCCGGTCACATGCCTATACTAATAAGCTGGTTTATTTACTGTGTTAATTATTTTTAAAACTCGTTTCTGTTCTGCGCCGAGGCATTCTCGGTTCAGATAAAAACTTTAAATATATGAATATGTATGTACCTATTCACATTTAAAGAAAAGCGTGAAAGTGAGTGTTCTTTTTTATTCAGTTTTTATTATTGTAAGGAAGGGTAGACCCGACATGATGGAATAGACGGGTAAAAAAAAAGTCGTGCTCCATTTACTTGTATGAGAAGTACCCAAAATAAAAACGTTTTTAAGATTTTATTTCAGTTTTCTAGGCGTTATTAATATCTTTAACAATATAAAAGCTTTTAGAAAAAATTTTTACTTCGCAAATATCCACATTATAAAATAAAATGATGTGTCTTACCTAGTATGAAGAGCACCTCCCGCCCTCCCTCAATTGCGTGCACAATCCCCGTCACAACTAATCCCAGCACCGCTACTCCCAACACCACTACACTAGGCAAGACACACCACTGACGATAATACGACACGTGTTTCGCCTCTAGACGAGGCATCCTCAGGTGATATATACTCTACGGTGGCTGACCACTGTATAAAAGGCAATTTATGTGGACGCCTATGTTGAGTAGTGGCCTTTTAATGGACTGTTACGAAAAAAAGGGTAGCAACAGTTGTACGTGTAACTGTATTACGACTGCAGCTTGATCAGCTTGACCGAAGGAGGATCACGGTCTCACAAAAATGCATTCATTCTTCATTACAACATATCAAAATCTACAGCTAAACACGGGGCTCTTCTTAAACTGTCTCTATTACAAAAAGGGGATTTTTTCTAATAGGTGCCACACTTAGCCACCGCAGCTTTTCTCATTTCATCGGCAGGGAGCAGGTTGCTGATGCATTTTGTCTGGTATATGTAGCGAACCGGAGACCCGTTTAATTGGTAACGAAGCATTTCATCTTAGTCCTCAGGGGTGACAACGTATTTGTATTTTGATTTATAATAGATGTAGATATTTATGGGCCGCAGTATCGACTAACCATCGGAAATCGGAACTATGTGCTTGTTTGTCACATTACTGATTTAAAAAAGCGGATTTATACTGAAAATAAATTCGCTGATGTAAATTTCAACAATGTTTCCTATAATGCAAACCAAGTGGTAAGAGCACTTGAAATACATTGTGAAATTTAAAATTAATGGTGATGTCGTATAATGTATATATATATATATATATATATATATATATATATATATATATATATATATATATATATATATACCTTTATATACCTACATTTTGTTAATAAGTCTGTTACGTCGTACAGTTTATTATATTTAAAACCAAAGAACTATAAA